TGTTAATGAAGTCATAATTATGGGTTATTTTAATTTCAGGCATATAGATTGGGAAATTCTAGAATCAAACTATGAGAGAGAGAAAGGTTTTTGGAAATGTTCAGGATTGCTTCTTTCATCAATTAGTCAAGGAACCAACCAGAAACAATATACTATTTTGGATTTATTGTTAACTTCTAATATAGAAATGGTTGAGGGGTGGAAATTGGAAAACATCTAGGTGCAAGTGATCATTGCTCTATTAGGTTTGATGTTTTGCTGCATATGGAGATCATAAATAATGATATTTTGGTTACAAGTTTCAAAAAACATATTTTGACGGGATGTGAAAAGAATAATCTGTTGTGAATTGGACAGCTGAATTATATGGAGAGTTGTTCAACTAAAAAACATTGTTTACATAGCATAATATTAATATTTACAATAATTTATAAATATAATATAGAGACAACAACTGAACAAGGGACCTATTGCCAGTATTCAGTATTGGCCCATTTATATAACTATAGTATAAGTATAACTAGTATAAGTATAAATAATCTACTTATCTAGGCTGTCTCATCCACTAATGTAAAAGAACTGAAAGTCAGTCCTTATCATTCATATGTTTTATTGTTTGTCAAGTCTGCCCTTAACTCCGAAGCTTCCCTTCAAAGTTAAATTTACTGCCATCAGGCTCCACTACATCCGATGGTAACCCGTTCCATAGACCAACTACTTATTTAGTTTTATATTTATACTATACACACTATACATATAGTTAGAAAAATAATGCTGTCTTAGTTGGAAATGACTCTTACCCTGTTAAAATTTATATTTGTGCTTCTGAATCCTAACCGTTCTCATGATTAAGTATGAAAAAAGATGGTTTTAAACACCTCAATCAGGTCTCTAAGTTCTAACTTTTCTTTTTACAAGATAAAATGATTTCAGAGATCTTATTATTTCCTTTATGACAACCTTTCCATCCCAGGTATCATCCTAGCAACCCTTCTTTGAAACCTTTTCAACAATTCAGTGTCCTTCCGAAGGTAAGGAGCTTGAGTCAAGAGTGAACACTATAATCCAAAAGTAGCCTAACCAGTGACCCATACAATGAAATTATAACCTGTTTAGACTTGTATTCAAAGTAAAAATTTCTGTAGATACAACTTAAAAACCATATGCCTTACCACTACCAACATTTCTTGGATGGCTTAACAATAACAGACTGATCAACTACTACAGTAAGAACCTTTTCTTCCATAACACTGTGAAGGTTATTTCCACTAAAATTGTACTTATAATTCAAATTACCTTGCATTTACTATGATTAAAACCCATCTGCCATTTATTTGCCCACCTCTCTAAATGGTCTAAATCCTTTTGTAATGCAGCAGTATCCTCTAAACAACCAGCAACACCAAAGACCTTAATATCATCAGCAAATTTAAGTAGTTTATTGGCCATTCCTTCATCTTTGTCATTGATGTAAATCAAAAAGAGTAAAGGTCCTAAGACTGAGTCTTGAGGTACCACACTTTTGACATTAATTCAAACTTCATTTATAACAACCTTTCTTCATTCAACTCACTTTTCTGTCCAATGGACTAACTTATTTCCCACATATACAGAGATAATTTTTTTTGTAAGCCTTTTATGTGGCACCTTGTCAAATGCTTTCTGAAAATACAGATACACTATTCAAAAAAATAGTAGCAAGTAACTTACATATCCAATCCTTAACCTTCTTCAACACTTTTTGGGAAATATCTGGCCCTGGAGCTTTATCAGTCTCTACTTTTGTTCTAACAAGCTCAGAATAAATGTGATTATTTTGTTTGATCTTGTTTCCATCTGTGAACTATTTGGGATGAAGAATATTGTCTAAATCTTCATTAGTAAATACTGAAGAAAAAGCAGAATTTAATAACCCAGCCATCTCATGATCATCAGATATGAGCTTTTCTTTATCATTTTGTTTACCCTTAATGTATTTAAAGAAATTCATACTGTTAATCTTTACATTTTCAACCAACCTTTTTCAATACATCCATCATCTCTAAAATCTCATTTCATCAACTCCTGTCATACTAGTCAATTTTAATTGCTTATATTTGTGATACTTTTCTTTAATTATATCCCTTGTATCCTTTGTGAACCAACCTGGTTTTTTACTTGCAGCCACCCGTTTCTTTCTATAAGGAGCATGTTTATCTTGAATAAGTAAACATTTATTTTTAAAAGCTTTCCACGTTTCTTCGGTGTTATAATATACATTTTCATGATAACTACACTACAGCCATTTTTATTTGGAGATTGCAGAGGGCGCTAGTGATTATCTATAGTTTAGCCAATGAAATATGAAAAGGATTTTGCCGGACTTGGTTCAAATTCTCGTGCGTTAGTCGCTAGGGAAAATTTAAAACTGAATTTTCTTTTACTTTGTACCTTGTGGAATCTAAAGGGTAAGTAAAAAATATATGAAAATAAATTAACCTTAAGGCTTAACTAGAAATATAATTTGAAAAGGCATAACCTTTAGACTGATACTATTTTCTTAAACAACTTTTTAAATTATTGACATTTGTTGCGTCAGCGAGTCACATGACTAGTGTGACGCCAAGTTTCTAGAACTATCCCGTACCTTGGCGAATGCTCTAGTATTTGCTAGATATAGGGTAGTCGGGTATATAAAAGAGGGTGACAACGTGACGAGAATAATGTAATGTGTGTGTAGGTAATGAGTAATTGAACTGCGGTCAGAGAGAGACGTATTGTTGAAGTT